GGAAGCAGATCATCAGGTCTTTTCTCCCACAGAGCAGCTGGTGGGTTCAAACCTCTGACCTTTTGGATAGCGGTCAGATGCTTAACCATTGTGCCACCAAGGTACCATATATGTGTATACACACACACACACATATATATACACATATACACACACACACATATATACACACACATATACACACACCCATATACATATGTATATGTATGCCTTTCCTATCATATATAATTATATACTATATATATACTTCAGTATTAATTAGCATCTAGTTATCATCCTTAATTGCTGGTAATAATGAACAAAATGCATATCACGATATCTTAAAAAATACAAATAATTTTAACTTTCTTTTCATTCCAAAGCTTATCATATCCTTTTAGCAGAGTGGTAATTCGGCATCATATCAAATGATTTGTCTGTCATCTATTTTCTGTACTCGGGAGACCTACGAGTGCTTATTTCTAGGAAAAAAAAAAAAGGCTTAAAAGGCAGTCAGTTGGAAGGAAAGAAGTAAAAGTAGCCTGGATAATCCATAAACTTGCCAGTCAGTCTCTGAATAAATCAAGAGGTGGTTTTGCATTAAGGAATTAGAAGTGTCACTTCCAACTTGTGATTTCTGCAAATATTGGATTCTACCCAAGCTGGATTTTAAAAGCAGATAAAGAAAGCAAGCCAGAATTAAATGGAGGCCTGGGGGACATAACCTATTCTGACTCACTTCCAAATTATCAGTAGCAAAAAAAGATGTTGCTCTAAGTACAGCAACTTTCTGACCTCCCTGCACTAGTAAGACACTGGCCAGAAAAACTCATGGAATTAGGCTGGAAGAAAAAGCAGCTATTAAAAAAAAGAGAACAAAAGAACACGTTTATGCTGCAAAGTTAAACATCGCATCAGCTTTTCTGAAATACTCTGGAACTTAAAAAAGCGAGCATACAAAATGCATTTTGAAGCTTTTTCATTTTAAGCGTAGGTTAATATGTTCCATGTGCCATTTTATATTTTGAAAGATACCACAAGAAATAAACTATTACCAAAAGTACTTACAAAAACAAATACCTCCAAATCCCTTCATTAAACTTTTTAAAAAATAAAAACATAAATTAATTTAGCCATATAAGTTTTAAGAGAAAATGTTTATTTTTTTCCAACCTCAGTTGCCAGAAAAACACCACACTATTTGTAATGAACACTTCAGTTTCATGGGATAAGCCAAATCTAATCTTATAAAAATGAAATGTTACAGAGGAAGCTGAAGCTTCAAAATGGAAAAGGCTACAGCAGGAAACACTTGTCATACCACACCCCCTACCCTCAGACCACCAGAAACATGAATTATATGTTTCAGAGCCTTGCTGCTTTTAAAGAGTTTTATCAAGAAGTTATCATAAATTCCTGGTTAAAATATGATTAGGTATTTAAACAGAATGAGCTATAAAATTAAGTCACTGTATTTCAAGCTCAAGAAATTCCAGGAAGATCATAATAAAGTTTTGATTGGTCCATCCACCTTTCAGTGATTCAGCCTGAAATGCAGCTTACAACTGGTCCAAAAACTAGACAAATAATTCCATTTATCACAAAAATAAATCATAAGAGGTTTCAAGACAGATACAGGTGGAAAGGGTTAAAAGTAGCTAATAATGACCATTAGCTTTGAAGGAGGCTGAAGGACTCAGTGAGTCATACTTTTATTACCTTATAGACAAAACAAAAAGTAGCATGCTTCTTAACTGATTAACAGAAAATTATTGCAGCCAGATCCCATTAGTAATTATCAAATGAATTTTTAATTTATGATTTTGTTTTCAAAAGAAGGAGAAGAAAGAATGGCAAGTAATTAGTGGTACTGTTTTTATGGTCTCCCCCATACGAAGTTTTGTCCAAAAGTAGGAAAGGTTGGCGTTTCACTTTTTCAATCATCTTGCTATATTTTGAAATAAAACATAGAGTTAAATGATATATTTGCTCTCTATTCCAGACTGGATGCAATTGATTTTAACTGACTAAATTATCTGATCTCTGCCAAGAATTTTATTTCATTAAGAAAATGATATTATGGAGCATCTGAGATCATAGAACAGACTAAACATAATGCCAAAGGAGTTCTGAGAATGCTCCACAGTGAAGGTTTGATTATTTGCAGATGGAATATGAAAAAAAGAAAAAGGTCCCAGGCGTTAGCCTACCAATCCTGTTACCATTGCTGCCTACATCCTAGCACAAAGCCGAGAAAATAACTGATCTTCTAAGCTACAACACCTTCTCTTTTTTTAAAGGTACTAACCACTTTTCTTCCTAGAAAGTAATATTTAACTTCCACTATCCAAAACAAAGGGGAAAAGGGAAATGTTGGTACTACAACAGGCTCTAACATGTCACCTGTCACGGCTGGCACGATTTGGCGAGTAGTCAAGCATTCACCAAGGAACTAATTTAAATCAATCTCCTTTGGGAGAGCCAATTGTTTGGTATGCACAACAACTGGTATAGGATCAATCAGTGGACATGAGATCAATTAAAACCAGCTTAAGTTTGTGAAGAGGGACAATTCACACAACTTGAGTTAGATCTCTATTCATTTCAATACTCTCACAATGCAGTCCTTAAGCTTCCTTGCAAAGCAGAAAAGCTACTATCACCCTACACTGTCTAGCCAGTCCTTTAAGTAGTTCCACTTTTAATTAAAAACACAGTACACCCTTTGTTGGCACAGATAGTGTGGTCACTTTTAAGGATCACAGTTATTTTAGCCAGAAACCTGGGATTTGGAAAGGGACATCTGTTGAGAATGAAAAAGAAAAATCTTTGATAGTTTTTTTTTTCTTAAACAACCTTACCAATTTACATGCACTTCAGAGTATTTGAATTTTATTAAAATGAAAGGTTGGTTTGGCAGAAGTTACTATAGCACACTTTGGAACTGGGTTTCCAAATGTCAGCGCTTGGGGATGTGGATGTAACTGCTACAAGAGATTTTGCTTAAGCAAGCCGCGAAACAAGTAGATTTTGCGTGAGATACCTAAGAAGGCATAGGCAGAACTGGAGAGATGGCACTGCTGGGAAATGTGTGCAGTATCGCTTCTGGCCGCAGGAGTGCTGTACTGCCATTCTCCACCAAACAGCATCTCCGCACTCAGTTCTACTAAAACAGTATGTTTGGTCGTCTCCACTCAACCACACAGGGACAGGCAGTGTGGATCAAAAATGACCACTGAATTAGTATGTCACCTAAGAAGCAAACAAGAGTTTGGCAAAGGGTTTTAGGTTATTTCTATGTTTCATAAAATTAAGCACTTCAGCTTTTCAACCAGACAGGCTGCAGCTTCAGCTTATAAGAGGGAGAAAGGCCTCTCCAAACACTTTTGACCACAGTGTAATCAAAAATTGCGGCTCTGCGGAATAACACCTCGAAAGAAAATACTAGGGCGGAGATAAGAGGCCAGTTGGGAGGGGAGGGAAGCCGAGAGAAAGAGATGGAAAGGGAGTTTTCCAGGACAGATATCAGTATCAAACTCTCATGGCTTCTGGGAAGAAAATTTCTTCCTAGCATTTTTAGATGGAATAATTTCTGAAAATAAGAAGCATTTTTCAAATTTCAGAAAGGAGAAAGAAGGAATAGTTCCCATCTTGTGAACCGCGGATCCATATCGTCAACTGCAGAGCACAGACTACAAAAGTCACACATCACCAGATAGCTCGAGCTTTGCCCTCGAGCCCGCCAACCTTTAACCCTGCCTATAGGTGACAACAGCTTAACGATGTCCTAAAAAGCCATCAAGAAATAAGAGTGCGATAAGCCTTCTCCAAAATCTGAATGCAGGACCGGAGATTCCATAAAACCAGTTGCAAACAAATCATTTCACAGGTCGAGTGAGACGTTTATATCTCGGGAAAATTAAGAGCTATTAACCTCGGGACAAATTCTAACGGCGCAAAAATCCAAATTACTGGATAAAGGCAGCGCTCACCAGATGCCTACAAGGGGTTGCTGCTGCGCACCTTCCATGCGCAAGTAACGCAAAGGGTGTGTGTGTGTGGGTGTGTGTGCGTGTTAAGGTTTATGTTTAAATCCTCCAGATTTAACTGTGTCTAGCAGTCCTTCTCCTAAAATGCGACTGGATTAGCTGCACCCCAGCAGGACTCAGAGAAAGAAATAAGCCCGCACTAAATCTACAGGAGAGCTAGTTCTCCGAAATCTTTCTGGAGGCTTCCACTCCCCTCCCCAATGCGCACACAAATGATGGAGAGGGAAAGGGCGGTTAAAAAGGCGCAAGTGAATTTCATTGGGAACAGAAACCACTCACCGAAATAGGTGCTTCTGAAGAAGCAGATGGAGGGTACAGAGCCGGGCCAGCCTCACAACATCACTTTGCCAGAAAACTAGCGCACGAGTTGCCGCTCAATTGGTAAAGTTTAATAGATCATCCCATCTGGTCTCAGGTTCTTACAGAACAATGCTGCCCTTTCCCTGTAAATGCGGGTCCTCTACCTCGACTTGGTACCCCTCCCCAGCTCCCAAACACACACACACACGCACAGATACGAGGGGCCCCAGGTCTATGAAGATCTGGGCCAGGATTTGGGGCGCAACGTGGATGGAGTAGGGAGAGACAGACCTGCTGCAGGGGAGATTGTTAAAAAAACAAAAGAGAGAAACGAAGGTTAAAAAAAAAAAAAAAGATGCCAGGTAAGAAATGCGACCCAAAGCGAGAAAAGTTTGAGAGTAGGCGCTGCCGCGAACGTGGGTGTGGACTGCACGACTTCGCCCAGAGCGCCGGCGGGACGCCCGGCTCGTGCTGCTCTCTGCACGTCACGCTCCGGCTCGCCGCGCCGACTGGCGACTGCAGAGCGCGGCCGGAAGACTAGGGGCGGTGGCGCGCAAGAGCGAGGGTGGCGGGCACGGTGCTGTCCGGCTGGGACCCTGAGAGCCCAGGGCAAATGGACGCCGCGCCCCCCACCCCTGGGACCCCACGCACCTCTGGCAGAGTGGGACCCACCTCGCTTACTGCGTCTCCATCGGTTGCCTTGGCAGTGGCTGTAATCCATACAGTTCAGGATGATGAGAGCAAAGGAGAAGAGGCGAAACTGCATCTGGGCGGTCGGGCCGGGGAGAGACGTCTCTCAAAGTCGGGTAACTGAAGGGCTCATTCAACGAGCCGTCCGCGCTGCTGGAGAGGACGCAGAGGGAGAGGCGCCACTAGCCCGGGGGCAGCACTGGTCAGTTCAGAAGGACCAGCATCTCTCCGCTGTGAACCTGCAAGACGAAGGGGCGAGAAACTGGATGGGTGGGTGGAGAGAGCCCGGGGAAGGCAGCTGCGCCTTCGAGCATCCCAACTTAAAGAGGCGAGGGGGGGGCGGGGCGGTGGGGGAAGCAAGCCCGCTGCCTGACACGAGCCGCGGAGCGGTTTAAGCCAGCGCACAGCTGCAGGCGACTTGGAGAGGGAGGTGATAACAATCAGTGAATTAACAACCTCTTCCGAGCCCTAAGCTCGAACTGAGGGGAAATGGCATTGGCGGGCGCTCCGGGGAAAGGAAGGAACTCCAAAGCACCAAGGGCGCAGCGTTACAGGAGCTCATTTACTCCTCCTGGGCTCCACAGTTGGGGGGTCCCCGAGCGTCGCGGCGGCGGCCGGGCGCGGATCGCCTACCGTGCGCGCGTACGTCTCCGGCGGCGCGGCGTGCCTAGGCTCTGCGCTCCATTTCGGGCTCGGGAGGCGAGCTGCCTAACTAGCACGTGGGCTGAGGAAAAGTTTGCCGAGACGCACGGGTAGCGCTTGGCAGCTCCGGGATTCCGGCGGCTGCCGCGGGGTGGGCGTGCGCGGAGGTTCCGCAGGGCCCGCGGCGTCTGGCAGGAGCGCGGCGAAGCCCGGACGGGTGCGTCCGCAGCTACTGGGATGCTGCGTCCCAGCCGGTGAGTCCGATCCCCAGCGAGGGGCGCGCCCGCTTTCTGCCTCCCTAGCCAATCCCGCGGTTTTCCAGGCTCTCTTTCCACTTCAAGGCTAAGGTCAAGGTTTCTGTCTTTCCAAGCTTGGGGAGACAACGCTACCAGGAGGCCGAGGGGCTGTGGCAAGCGCAATTTCCGATGGAGATGCCGACGGGCTGAGGCTCGGGATGCTTCTATAAGTAGGCTTCTAAAGTAGGCTGTCGCGGAGTTCCTGGGTCCTAAAGCCAGGAACGCTCGGGTTTCCCTGAGGTCCTAAAGAACGCTGACCTCCTGTGGCGAACCTAACCCCAGACGAATCCCCTCTGGGCTTTCCAGGAGGAGGTGGCTAAACTGAAGAGTAACTGGGGTGGGGGTCCCCCCGTCCGTGCTGGGCCCCAGAGCCTCGCTGTCTTCACCTCCAAGGCGCCCTCTTCGGCGCTTGAGGGTCAGTTCCCACCCTCAGCGCCACTTTCCTGCAGGGGGTCTGACTGACTTGACTGACAGATGGCTTCTCTGAGACCTTCCTTGCAGAGCTCCCAGCAGGACTGCTGCTTCTGACGGGCAGAGTTAAACTTGAGCCGACTCCCGAATTTCGATGCCACACCCTGCCACTTTTTAATTTACATCTTGACGCTTTGTTTTATAGGAAGATCTGTTAGCGAGGCTAAGAGCACACTCACGGTTTAGGGAGTGAAAAGTGGATTTCCAATAGCTTTTGCTTATCCTCAAAAGTGTTATTTCTTAACTTTGTTTCTAATCCAGGAAAACGTACAAAAACCCTGTGATCTCTTGCTTGCATTCCTGAAGGAACTGAGGCTTTGCTTCTTTAAATAAAAGCCCACTTTCCTCTGAAGTATTTCTCATTCCAACTCCCCCCCCCCCAATCTCATGAATTAAACTTTAGGTGCCTTGAGTATGGAGAAATACTCTTTTTCATTACATTAAGTGTACTTGACGCTACCCAGTTTCAATCTGGTGAAATCTTCTGTCCTGCATCCATTACTGCAGGAAAGAATGTATTTGCTGCTTAGATCAAAGGTAAGAATTTATACTGCTAACGATGGCCTAAAATGTTTCTATAAATATTCTCATATTATGTTAGCATGTTGTACTATCGTAAATTCCCTTTTCTATGCCTCCAGTTTCAGAAGATGTTCATAAATTTGGCGACTTGAGGTGATTATGTAGAAATAATAAGAAATCAATATTAGAATAATATTTATTGACTCTCCCATTATTGTTTATCGATACTATTTTACAAACATTACTGTTACGTAGCAATACTTATGTATAACCATTTCCGTGTCTTTCCTTTTATGCATGTCTGAGAACACCCAAGTAAATCTGAGTTGAAGTTATCGGTCCCATTTCATAGATAAGAAAATTCAGCCCCAGAGACTGGCCCACAGTGCACAAAACACACTGCAGAAACAATGGATATGTTTCTCTGTTTTCTAGACCCCCTGATATTTATCACAGAATTTGGAATTGATTTTACATCTTTCAGTCTATGGAGTAGACCAGCACATTCACATAATGACTTGATATCTCAGTGAATACTGTCCCCCAGCATCATAAATACCACTTCCCCTGAACACACACACATACACACAAAATGTATTGCACTTATAAAAGAATTAAATCCACAGAATAAAAAAGTCATCTCTAAATAAGCCTCCTGCTTTCATGTACAGTTTGGAGACCCATTCAAGATCAAAAATTATCAGTGTCCTTTAAGATATTGAAAGGCAAAAATAAGCACAAGACCAAGCAAATTCAGCTCTAACATTAAACACCTACGTTGCTTTGAGCAATTCTCTAGATCTCAGTTTCTTCAGCAGTATTTTCAGGAACTTAGACCAAGGTTCCTTTCCCTTTTAGCATGTTCTAGTTTACAGTCAATTTTCTATTTCTGTCAGGAAGTTTGCTATCAAGTCTAACCAGTGTCAGGACAAACTCATCAGTGAAGGCTTCTCCATGTGGAAATATGACAGCCACTGTCATCCTTATTTAAACCAACAGACAACTTTCAATCTTTTCAAAGATAACTTCCCAAAATTTTAATCATTTGGGTTGTACATTTTGGCTTTTTTTTTTTAACCAGATATTTTTTCCAGTTTAGTGAACCCTTAGGCCTGATTCATAGAAAACAAATTTTAATAGCACCACTTCTGTGGAGGATTGGTTAATACAGTTATGCCCTGGAATATTTTATCCTAAGAATAAATAAAGAAATGCTAAGGTTTGTCATGCATAAACTCATTTAGTTTATTGCAAGATAGTCGTGGCATGGCACACAGTAAGACCTCAATTAACAATTACAATGTTAGTTCAATGATTAGAATCCAAATCTTTAGATTTCCTGAATGAGTTGTTTTGGGAGGAAGACTTGACGACAGCTCGGACTCAGATGAGGCCCCCCATAGCTAGGGTCCAAGATCAGGTGAGGTGGGCAGTATTTCAGCAAGCTGTAAGTGTTCAGAGAGAGTGAGAGTCAGACTGTTTGCCGCCATCGTCTCTCAGTGAGTGAGCAGAAATTCAGGGTTTATATGTGATTTTCTCACCTTGGCTTCAGACGGTAAGGGCCAGGTGATGCCCTGCTTAACGGAGACTAATGTGTTACATTGTTTCTTCAAGGTGGCCCTATGGTGTAATGTTGCATCTTTCTTTAAGATGAGAGATTAAGGGTGTTGTTTATGATGTACTTACATCTTGCAGCCACCATACAAGAATTTAGCCAAATGCTATGTTGCTTTAATCACAGCATACAGGTGCATGGCTATCTTAGAGAGGTTGTTTACTACATACTTCAGGTACTCCTATTGCCAAATTCAGAAATTCTCTATTTCTAACTTTGCATTATAAGTGACTCATACATATGGGGATACAGAAAGCATACATGACAATCATATGTGATTTGAGAGCATTGCAGAATCGTATGTGATTTGAGAACATTACAGAGGCATACATAACAGTTTAATAAAACAAGAATAGGCTCTGGAAAAATGAAAGAGTCCTAATTCCTTTCTTCTTGTGCTCACTCCTGGTTTGTCTCTGCATTTTTAAAGGACACCACTAAAACTAAAATATCTAAGTCACACTTAGTTCTTGGGGTGCTTAGTTAGAGTCTGACACTAAACTTCTTTGGGGCTAATTTGTTGATAACACATACTTTTTTTTGCCATTCACTGAATATTTCTCTTGATTTCAAGAATCCAGGAATGTGCTTGCTACTAAAAAATACAACCCTAGCAGATCCTAAACTATCATTAACTTTAATCCCATATCTCTGCTGCTTTTCATTTCTAAACTATGAATGTGTTGTTGTTGAGGCTCAGAGATCACAGTTTCTCCATTTTGGAACTTCATGGACTTTTTCCGTAAACTGAGTTTAGAGATGTGCTTTCATTATGCTAGCTTAGTAAATAGTCACATGCCTGGTGTTTGTTTACAGGGAAGCATAGTGATGAGGTAGACTCCATAAAACTGAGTAATAGTAGAGAAAAACTGAGGACAGAGGATGAGGATAATGTTATAAATGGGAGGCATTCTTTCTATTTTACTTTTTTTCCACCTATAATGCTTTCATACAGTTCAAAACTCAACCCTTACAAAGGGCATACAAAGGCTATTCACAGATGACTCGATTCTTTACGTAGAAGATCCCAGAGATTCCACAAGAAAGCAACTGGATCTAATAGAAGGTTTCAGCGAAGTGACAGGGTACAAGATTAACATACAAAAATCAATTGGGTTCCTTTACACTAACAAGGACAATTCTGAAAAGGAAATAAAGAAAATACCATTTATAATAGCCCCCCCAGAGGATAAAATACCTAGGAATAAACCTAACCGGGGATGTAAAAGACCTATACAATGAAAACTAAAAAACACTACTGTAGGAAGCTAAGAGTGACTTTCATAAATGGAAAAACATTCTATACTCATGGATTGGAAGACTTAACATTGTGATAATGTCAGTACTACCCAAAGTGATACATAGGTGTAATGCAATACCAATCCAAAGTCCAACAACATTCTTTACCAAAATGGAAAAATGTATCACCAACTTTATAAGGAAAGGAAGGAGACCCTAGATAGCCAAACCAATATTGAAGAAGAGCAAAGTAGGAGGCCTCATACTCTCTGATCTCAAAACATACTATAC